CAGCAAGCAAAGCGTTGGCTCAAGCCAGCTTCATTCCAGCCATTCCCCACCATGCCCCTCCCCACCCCCAACAGCAGCACAGGCCACAGCACACAGCAGGAAGTCATATGCAACACACACAGTGGCTTCAGTGTTCTCAGTTCGGACTCTTAGTCCTGTTTCGCACAATCATAAATTACAGCAGGCCAAGGTACTGAGTCTCGGATCTTCAGCCTGCCAGTACTGCAGGTCCCTGGAGGATACTGGCAAAGTTAGTTTTTTACCACTTCTGTGGAACCCCCTGGCTCTGGGACCTTGCACAATCCCCTGACCCTTCTAGCCTAAGATGAAGTTCATACCCTGCAGCTTTTTCTCCTAATTCACCTTCCTCATCACGGCCTTTGAGGTGCTCCGAAGCTGAGGAGCCAAGAAGAATGAACCTGGGAGTCAGCCTAGAGCAGCTGGCCTACGGCATGCACCCCAGGCCGCCTTCCCTGGCCTACCAGGCCTTCTGATGATGGGTCCTTGGACAACTTCCAAAAAGGGGCAGCACTGGGCCTACTTTTAGAAATCATGGAGTTCAAAAGAGAATCCAAGACCAGGATGCCAAGAAAAGGGGCTCCAAGGAGAGTAGTTGGGGTACACGGCAGAGTTTTTGACAATATGCTTACTGTATTGAACTCCCCCTCATTGCCAACACAGTATCATGGGGCAGTTCTAATCCTTGACCCTGTGGCACATTTGATGTTCCTCATCTGCACTGAGGTGGTGGAGAAGTGGGAACAACGGTAGACCCTCCACACTCCCCATGCCCAAGGGCGCCCACCATGGGGGCTGCAACCTGATCTAAGTCATCTCGCTTTGCTGGGCAGAGAGGAACCGTTCCTGGATTTCACCCTCCCGACTGCTAAGGAAGATGCTGTGCCCACTGCTACTTGGCAGCGAGCAGCAATGATTCCAGCAGAAGCTGGAATTCTGACCTTCACTCCTTTTGCTAGGCACTAGATGAACACTGTTCTATCTCACACACAGAAACGATTTTATACTTTCTAACTCTGTGGGTTTATGTGGGCAGCTAACTGCCCCTGTAAGGGCCCAGTTCCTATTTACATGCCTACGCTGTGAACACATGAGCATCTTCCCAGAGCTATGGCTTGACGATGCCCTATCCACGTACAGGGGCCAGAAATGCTCAGGGCAGACAGGCCTAGGGAAGCTGGGAGCCACCAGCCATGCTCCTGTGATCCCAGTTTGCAGAACACTAACAGGTGGCAGAGTGGAGTTCCATGGGGAAAGCATGGAAGTCGCCGTCACTCCTGCGGCCAGGCAGGGCTGCTGCTTCCCAGCCCAGTACCCACAGGGGGCAATTAGACACTGTCCCCCATCCTCACAGCAACTGTTTTGCAGCAAGAGCACCAGCGCCCAAGATTCGCATGAGGACTCAGGGGTCCTGCTGCCCAGCCCCGGGCACTGAAGACCCAGAGGGCAAACATGTGTCCCCTCCAGACAGGGGCAGCTTCTGCTGTACCGGGCTTCGGCTCTTCTCAGCAATGACGCTTGCCAGGAGCTGGGACTGAGGCCCTGCTGACTTCACATCTTGTCGGTTTTGTTCTCGAATCTGTATGCAAAGGGAGCGGGAGAGTGAGTCAGCTGCTCAGTGTTAGGATGTGGAGTTTGGGAGGGCATCCCAGGGCATCCTGGCATCCAATAGGGTCTGCAACTTGAGTCTCAAAAGGTCCTCTGGTGGTGTAGGAGTCTGTCCCCTATATTTCTCACATAGTATGTCCTCCAAGGAGCAGTCTCTAAGTCTGTTTCAGAGTGAATATGTATTTTACATAAAACACCAGGTTCTCATTAACTCTGAGAAGGTGAGAGGTACAGAGTGAAATGAGGCATAGTACATCCTTGAGGGGGGCCCTCAAATTTGCATATTCCTAAGAAGTACCTCTGAAATGTGTTTAAAAAATTGATTCCTGGGTCCAACCCACACCTACTGAATATGCATCTTTTGTGGGGTGGGAGGGGGGTTGGGCTGGGGATCTGCAAGTCCTGCGGCCCCTGGGAGGTGGTCCTTTAAGACTTAAGTTTTTAAAGTAACATTTGAAATATAAGTGAGTGAACTGTAAAGCAATGTTGAGAAATAAATATAAAGGATTTTCAAATCTTGAAAATGAGCCAAAGAGAAAATAGCATAACATTTATAAAAACTCAATTTGTGGGCAGGATTCACAGACACATGTAATATCTACAGCAAGCAGCTCTCCAAGTAAGAAGGCTGTATAGGACGAAGTCAGGACAGCACTTAGCACAGTGCCTGGAATACGGCCAATAAATGGTAGTTTCTTTCCCATAAGGGGCACCCGGGATATTGGTAAGACAGGCACATCCCAGGAACTCAGCTCATTTTTGGGGGACTTCCCTTGAGGGAGAAGAGTTGGCAAGATAAGCAGCTACCACCTACCTTGTTCCGCATGTCCAACACTTCCTGGGGGTCGGTATAGAGAGGCACAAATTGGTTTGGATTTTCGATCCGTATTGGCATGCCACTGCTGGATTTCTCCACCTCGTCAGCCTTCATCCACTGGACACACACAAGGCCAGGTGGGTAAGGCACAGGAGTGAGGCCTGTGCGGCATCCCAGGGACCCACCCCTCGAGATCAGGGCCAAGCGGCCTTCAGGGAGAGGTCAGCCAGCCTGCACATAGATGTTCTCCCCTACTGAGTCTCTCTGTTGTCTGTTCTCCCAGGACAGATGGACATCTAAAGACCCAGCTGCCCAAGAAGGCCCCCAGGCAATCAACAGTCATCCATAAAGCACCCTGGAGAGCAGGGATCAGAATCTTGGTAACCAGCGGTGACAGCTGGCCACTTGAGCTTGGGGATTAGATGACTCACTGATTTTAATTTGCAGGGCTCTTTGCTTTTTATAATGGAGAGCCATTCTACCTGGCTGCCTTACTCACTACTTTATTAACTACTCTAATGTTAATGAAAAGCCAAAATAAGAGTCAGGGTATGAGTAGAGGGGGTGGTTCAGGTGGTGGGCAAGCAGTCCCCCGACCCATCACACACACCCTTCCTGCCCCCTGTCCTGCTGAGTAGCAGAGGTCACTCCAAGGGGTTCCCTTGCCAGGGGCTGAAATAGAATCACCACTCCCTGTCCCACTCCCTCCATGGGCCTCCCCTCCAGTCCAGAATTCCCTCCTGCAGCTGGTGCACATGCCCTGAAGGATGCCAGGTGCTCTCTGCGTCCCTATAAGGCAGTTGTTCCTCAAGGCTGTTCAGGCTGTGTCCCACGGCTCTAGAAGAGGTCATGGGATCCTTCAGTGCTTCTGCATCAGGCACAGGGATGCAGCCATGCTCCTGAAGGCCCTAAGCACTCCACCACAGGAGCGTCCAGGAGCTGGTCCCACTGCCCACGCACTGTGGGGGCTTGTGGCTTCTGGATGAATATTGGTGTGCGTTTGTGCAGGTATGTGTTCTGTGTGTGGCATCCTAGGGGGAAGCCTTGTCATACACAGCACATGAGGAATTGGTCATGAACTTTAGAGCCAGGAAACCTCTCAAACATGGGATTGTGAGATGCATAAGAAAATACTGGGGAGAAACATATTTCTTTTGAAAAAGTCCTCCCTCCCCCATTGAGAGTTTTGGAGTGAGTAAACAGCCTCTCTATACTTACTACAGAGACAAGTATTCAGAATCGGAGGAAACTCCTTTGATGAAGGCACAAATGGGAAGAGAAAGGAAGACGTTGTGGAGACAGGTTGACAACACCACGATGAGACACAATGAACACAAACAGTCAGGGGATATCCACTTGGGGCTCTGGCCTCAAGCAGATGGGTTTCTTCTGGCAATGCTGGGCCTGCGTTCAAGGCAGCAATTTGCCCACGCAGGGAGCTCAGTGGGTGCGGGACTCTATCAGCATCCACATATGTGGCCATTCCACCCAGAAGGGACAGAGTCCCACCAGGCCGCCAAGCTGATGCTCCCTGTGTGGCAGTACAGCCCTTCCTGGCCACAGCCCCAGGGAGGAGTGTTCGTGCCCCAGAGGGATTCCAGGAGCTCAGTGAAGACACCTGTGTCATCTAGGTGGCACGGACTATAACAGTATTGTTATCCACCACAGGTGTGTTATTAATTGTTATCATAATTAGATCTTAAATTATGCTTGTACTCTTTGAAAGTATGTTTTCATCTGAAACTTCCCTTGCATATGTAAGAAACTTAAAAAGGGAAAATATTAGTAGCCCCATTTGACAGACAAGGGAATTGAGACTTAGAGACTTAGAGATTCTCTGATTTTCTAAAATTAGCAGTTAAGTTGGGCCAAGACCTCAGTTCTCTAAGTAGTATCTGATGAAGTGGTTCTGACCTGGGCTACACATTAGATGCACCTGGAGGGGTCTTAAAACTCCACCCCATCCTCACTCAGACCATTTAACTCAGAACTGGTGGGAGTGGGGCCCAGGCAGGCATCAGGATTGCTGAAGCTCCTCAGGTTATTCCAATGTGGAGTCAAGGTTGAGAATGACATCATCAGCCTCATCTGGAGCACGCTGGAAATGCAGGGTCTCAGGTCCCATCCCAGGCCTAGAGCATCATAATCTTCATTTTAACAAGATCCCTAGGTGACCCATATGCATGCTAAAGTCTGAGAACTGGGCTAGTGAAATCAGAAAGGCCCATCAGCCAACCTAGGCTGAGTCAGAGGTGAGAAGGCTCTGGGTCAATCATTAACTGAAATCATCATTGCTTAGACTGGGACTTAAAGTCTTAAAATTTAAGACTTGTTGAAATTGCAAGGTATATCATTACATTTCATGAAGGAAACAAGTTGGAGTTTGGGAACCTCTATTTCAAATTTCCTAGAAATGGCAGAGGGGAAAGCTTTTTGGGTTGGGTTAACACCTGCTGAAATGCAGGCTCCCTATAACAGGCACACCTGCCCTGACTTCCATGCAGTCCCTGGAATGTGGGGGCACTTGCCTCCCTCCCAGCTGCTCAGCTCCACTCACCGTCTAAAGACTTGGCAGGAGAGAGCACAGGGCTCTTCGTCTCTGACTTTGCTGGACTCTGTACCGGAGAAATAGGTGCCGACCTTACAGGTGAGCCAGGCTCCTCTGTGGTGGTTTCTTTCTCTCCTGAAAACACAGAAAATCACTTCAGGATAGAGGTCATGCAGAGGAGAGACGGGCAGAGAGAGTACTTTTTTAAAAACTGCTTTCTTCTGCTTGGTCGTCATTTCCTGGGCTGAAGCTAGCTGCTTCCCCAACCTTTAGATTTCTGGTATGTTCTGGGGGAGGCAAGGGCAGGAGTCAGAGTCACGGTCTGTTTCCTCCAAACACATCCACAAGCGGAACGTGTCACCCCTGATGTGGACAGCAAGGCTGCAGGAGACTTACCACCTGGGATTTGATGGTGCTCCTTTATTATTTAACTGATCTAATTTACATTTACAGTCCAAATAATTCTTGGGGATAAAAAGCACCATATTTTTCTATCTACTTTCTCATTTGTGACATAGAACTCCAAGCAAGCCTGCTTTGTGCCTGGGAAGATGGCTGACTCTGGGTGGGGCCTGGGGTTGGGTTGGGGGGGCCCTGCCCTGAGGGAGGGAGGGCTTAGCACGGTGGACAAAACCAAGAGCTGGATTCTGTGTCTCACCAAATGCGCTTAAAACAAAGAGCAGGAACAGTACAACATGGAGTGTTGGGTAGGGAGGGACAGAGGGGGCTTTTTAGCCAGAAGGGGGCTTGAGATGGAGCCTGAATGTGGTACAGGCAATTCTGGACCAGGCTAGCGGAGAAGGGAAAGCTGCCAGGAAGGGATAAAGGTATGAACAAGGGCATCCAAGCCATCACAAGTATGAATATTTTGGAATCAACATGGAGAGATGGACTCGTCTGAAGATTCTGAAATGAAGGAGTAAGAAAAAGATGTGAAGGAATCAGCTGCTGGAGTGTTTTGATGGCCAGGCTAAAAGGTCTATATTGGGTCTGTTAGATAATCAATAATAATTATCACTATTATAATTATCTTATCATAAACATTTATCTGGACTTTACTGACCTAAGCCATATTTACAGGCTGTTCTAACACTCTACAAGGCTTAACTCCTTTATACCCAGCTGAGAGGTCAGATGAGGTCACAAGGGCACCAGGTAACTGCCAGCCACTGAACAGTAGGGGGCATCACATGATGAGCAGCATTACACTAATAAGAATTATTACTTGGTGACGGGGCAGGAAGGTCAGATTGAGGGTATGACAGAGGAGAGAGAGAAAAGCAAGTGAAGGTTAAAATGAAAGCAAATGAGACTGGATGGAACCCCAGGGCCCCACCAGGTGGGAAGGCAGGGGTCCCAGGGCCACTGGCAGGAACGAGCATTGCTGGTTGCTCTGCTCCCTCTTTGGGTACCCCCAGTTCCCCGTCCACCCTGGGAGATTCCTGAAGGACTGATGACCCGGGGTTATTTACCATCAAGTTCTAGATTCTTCCTCTCCACCTCTTTCTTGTACTCCTCAAGCTCCTGGTCAGTGAGTTGGCTGAAGGGGTTGGGCACCGTCTCCTCTGAATCATCTTCGGTATCCACGTCACCCTTGGACATCAGCTGGCTCTCTGTGGACTGAAAGTTAACCACAGAGTGTGTGTTGCTCTCTGAATGCTGCACTTGGGGCCCAGGCCCAAGCTTCCTTTCAGACTCTTGTGGCTGCTAGTGGTCTTGCTAGGGATAGCGTGGCATGCAGCTCCTTGGAAACAGCTCAGGGCCTCAGGGTAAGGGTTGTTCACTCCTCCCCACAGCTACCTCACTCCACAGACCCAGGTTCTTTGCAACTACCTAGAGGGATGCAGGGGAGCCACCCTCTGCCCCGGAAATAAAATCAAAGGATGCTCCCAAGCAGAAGGAAGACACACCTTTATTGCAGTCCCTCCTATGGATGCGTGCAAGCCATCACTACACAAATACAGTCAGCAGTCCAAAGTCTTTTAGCCAAAAGCCAGCAAGCAAAGCGTTGGCTCAAGCCAGCTTCATTCCAGCCATTCCCCACCATGCCCCTCCCCACCCCCAACAGCAGCACAGGCCACAGCACACAGCAGGAAGTCATATGCAACACACACAGTGGCTTCAGTGTTCTCAGTTCGGACTCTTAGTCCTGTTTCGCACAATCATAAATTACAGCAGGCCAAGGTACTGAGTCTCGGATCTTCAGCCTGCCAGTACTGCAGGTCCCTGGAGGATACTGGCAAAGTTAGTTTTTTACCACTTCTGTGGAACCCCCTGGCTCTGGGACCTTGCACAATCCCCTGACCCTTCTAGCCTAAGATGAAGTTCATACCCTGCAGCTTTTTCTCCTAATTCACCTTCCTCATCACGGCCTTTGAGGTGCTCCGAAGCTGAGGAGCCAAGAAGAATGAACCTGGGAGTCAGCCTAGAGCAGCTGGCCTACGGCATGCACCCCAGGCCGCCTTCCCTGGCCTACCAGGCCTTCTGATGATGGGTCCTTGGACAACTTCCAAAAAGGGGCAGCACTGGGCCTACTTTTAGAAATCATGGAGTTCAAAAGAGAATCCAAGACCAGGATGCCAAGAAAAGGGGCTCCAAGGAGAGTAGTTGGGGTACACGGCAGAGTTTTTGACAATATGCTTACTGTATTGAACTCCCCCTCATTGCCAACACAGTATCATGGGGCAGTTCTAATCCTTGACCCTGTGGCACATTTGATGTTCCTCATCTGCACTGAGGTGGTGGAGAAGTGGGAACAACGGTAGACCCTCCACACTCCCCATGCCCAAGGGCGCCCACCATGGGGGCTGCAACCTGATCTAAGTCATCTCGCTTTGCTGGGCAGAGAGGAACCGTTCCTGGATTTCACCCTCCCGACTGCTAAGGAAGATGCTGTGCCCACTGCTACTTGGCAGCGAGCAGCAATGATTCCAGCAGAAGCTGGAATTCTGACCTTCACTCCTTTTGCTAGGCACTAGATGAACACTGTTCTATCTCACACACAGAAACGATTTTATACTTTCTAACTCTGTGGGTTTATGTGGGCAGCTAACTGCCCCTGTAAGGGCCCAGTTCCTATTTACATGCCTACGCTGTGAACACATGAGCATCTTCCCAGAGCTATGGCTTGACGATGCCCTATCCACGTACAGGGGCCAGAAATGCTCAGGGCAGACAGGCCTAGGGAAGCTGGGAGCCACCAGCCATGCTCCTGTGATCCCAGTTTGCAGAACACTAACAGGTGGCAGAGTGGAGTTCCATGGGGAAAGCATGGAAGTCGCCGTCACTCCTGCGGCCAGGCAGGGCTGCTGCTTCCCAGCCCAGTACCCACAGGGGGCAATTAGACACTGTCCCCCATCCTCACAGCAACTGTTTTGCAGCAAGAGCACCAGCGCCCAAGATTCGCATGAGGACTCAGGGGTCCTGCTGCCCAGCCCCGGGCACTGAAGACCCAGAGGGCAAACATGTGTCCCCTCCAGACAGGGGCAGCTTCTGCTGTACCGGGCTTCGGCTCTTCTCAGCAATGACGCTTGCCAGGAGCTGGGACTGAGGCCCTGCTGACTTCACATCTTGTCGGTTTTGTTCTCGAATCTGTATGCAAAGGGAGCGGGAGAGTGAGTCAGCTGCTCAGTGTTAGGATGTGGAGTTTGGGAGGGCATCCCAGGGCATCCTGGCATCCAATAGGGTCTGCAACTTGAGTCTCAAAAGGTCCTCTGGTGGTGTAGGAGTCTGTCCCCTATATTTCTCACATAGTATGTCCTCCAAGGAGCAGTCTCTAAGTCTGTTTCAGAGTGAATATGTATTTTACATAAAACACCAGGTTCTCATTAACTCTGAGAAGGTGAGAGGTACAGAGTGAAATGAGGCATAGTACATCCTTGAGGGGGGCCCTCAAATTTGCATATTCCTAAGAAGTACCTCTGAAATGTGTTTAAAAAATTGATTCCTGGGTCCAACCCACACCTACTGAATATGCATCTTTTGTGGGGTGGGAGGGGGGTTGGGCTGGGGATCTGCAAGTCCTGCGGCCCCTGGGAGGTGGTCCTTTAAGACTTAAGTTTTTAAAGTAACATTTGAAATATAAGTGAGTGAACTGTAAAGCAATGTTGAGAAATAAATATAAAGGATTTTCAAATCTTGAAAATGAGCCAAAGAGAAAATAGCATAACATTTATAAAAACTCAATTTGTGGGCAGGATTCACAGACACATGTAATATCTACAGCAAGCAGCTCTCCAAGTAAGAAGGCTGTATAGGACGAAGTCAGGACAGCACTTAGCACAGTGCCTGGAATACGGCCAATAAATGGTAGTTTCTTTCCCATAAGGGGCACCCGGGATATTGGTAAGACAGGCACATCCCAGGAACTCAGCTCATTTTTGGGGGACTTCCCTTGAGGGAGAAGAGTTGGCAAGATAAGCAGCTACCACCTACCTTGTTCCGCATGTCCAACACTTCCTGGGGGTCGGTATAGAGAGGCACAAATTGGTTTGGATTTTCGATCCGTATTGGCATGCCACTGCTGGATTTCTCCACCTCGTCAGCCTTCATCCACTGGACACACACAAGGCCAGGTGGGTAAGGCACAGGAGTGAGGCCTGTGCGGCATCCCAGGGACCCACCCCTCGAGATCAGGGCCAAGCGGCCTTCAGGGAGAGGTCAGCCAGCCTGCACATAGATGTTCTCCCCTACTGAGTCTCTCTGTTGTCTGTTCTCCCAGGACAGATGGACATCTAAAGACCCAGCTGCCCAAGAAGGCCCCCAGGCAATCAACAGTCATCCATAAAGCACCCTGGAGAGCAGGTATCAGAATCTTGGTAACCAGCGGTGACAGCTGGCCACTTGAGCTTGGGGATTAGATGACTCACTGATTTTAATTTGCAGGGCTCTTTGCTTTTTATAATGGAGAGCCATTCTACCTGGCTGCCTTACTCACTACTTTATTAACTACTCTAATGTTAATGAAAAGCCAAAATAAGAGTCAGGGTATGAGTAGAGGGGGTGGGCAGGAAGAGGACAACTTAATAGAAACAAATCCCCACCTAGCCCCTGGGTTTGCATCAGATGTGCAGTTCAAATATTGGGTACCCATCCCCTCAACTCCCCAGAAGCCCCCTTCTGGATGCAGGAACAAGAAGCAAAATCAATTTCTCCTGGGTTTTGTGCTTCTGGGGGTGACCTTGTCTAGCCACCCTCTGGAGAAATCTGCTCCTCAGACCCAAAAACTCAGTGCAAAGGGGCAAAAAACAGGTGATCAGAGGTGTGCGCAACTACTCCCAGATGCCCAATAGGAAGCCCAAGGGGAAACTGTACGAGCCCAGGCCCAGAGGAGACTTAATCTGCTCCCCCTTTTAAAGCTGCTGAACCCACACATGTAGCCACGCAGGAGCTCCCCCGGCTGCCCTTACTGTGGTCTTGGGTCGGGGGCTGCCCATGCTCCTCTGGACCTCGTCAGCCACGCTGACCCGCAGGTAGGTGTTGGGGGTGTTGAGCCAGCGCGTCTTCTCCTTCTGCTGCTTCTGGGCGTGCTGCCGTAGCATGGGCACTGGGGCACCGTCCTCCTCCAACACAAAGGCTGTGACCGTGGCTGGGATCTCCACCTCACTTTTGTGTTTGGTTTTCTCTTGAACGAAGGGATAGCGGTACGTGTAACCCGTTCTATAACCCTAAAAATTGTAATAACAGAACCACTTTTTGTGGGGAAAATGGTCTGCATACACACCCGCATGCCCCATGTACGATCTGCCCTGTTTTCCTGAAGGATTCAGTTTCAGCCAGAATCTCCAGGACAACCCAGGCCCTGCTGCTCCTCTGGCGTATTTCAGAGCTGTTCCCTCGTCCTGGTCCCCCAACAAGCCCTCTGACCAGGGCTGAGAAAATCCCTAGAACCTCAGGTTCTTGTGGACCAGACGGACCAAGCTCCCTACCCAAACAGAGCGCCAACTTCTCATCTGCCCCTGTAGTTCTCAACCCTGGCTGCTCACTGGCATCACCTGGCAGCTTTACAAATGCTGAAGCCTGGGCCCACCTCAGCACTGCCGACTTCACCAGACATTGGCAAAGTCAGGGCTGCAGGATTTTCAGCTTTGCAGCTGATTCTAACCATCAGCCCTCCCTTAATTAAGATGCCGAAGCCTCTGATTATTTCCTTTTGGGAACCCTGAAATCTGATTCAAGAATGTCTCTGTCTCTTAAGCAAGGAAGCCCATGTCCCACCAAGGTGGAAATGATTGCTACACAGAACACTTATTCAGGAATCTTGGCAGATGCTGGAGCAATTCTTGGCTCTCCCTGTCTTTTATTTTTTTACATTAAAATGGTATTAACATTTTCCTGGTTATAAAGAAAATGTAAGCCGCATGTAGGAAAATTAAGCACTATGGAGAAACATAAAGCATGGGTTTTATGCAAAATCTCATCCTCAGAGACAACCATTAAAAATCTTTCCAATCATCTCGAAGCATGCATATATGTATATGTAAATCATATAATTACAGAATATATGTTAATTATATATAATATATATTTATATAATTCATGTTTTATAATTACATATTACTATATATATAACTATGCATTATGTATATATATAAAACTATGTAGGTGGGACCATACTACACAAGCAGTTTTACAAGCTGCTTTTCTAGCTTATCAGTGTGGTTTGGAGATTTCTTCATGTTATTGAACCTATAAATATACAAAACTTTAAACAGCTGTATAGTATGCCTAGGAATGGACATAGAATTGATCTAACCAATACTGGCGGACACTTTGCCATTTTCAAAATATTATAAACAACTCTGAAATGAGTATCTTTACATATTTCTCTTTAGGCAATTAAACGATTCTCTCCTTAAGATAAATTCCTAGAGTGAAATTTTCTGGGTTAAAGGGTACATTCAAAGTTTTTTGATATGTATCATATCCATCTTCTCAAAATATTGAGCCAATTTATATTTCCACCAATTGTGCTTGAGTTCCCAGTTCTTATCTCCCTTCCCCCCTGCTGAATATTGCTGAAGTTTATAAAAGAAATCTTTGTCAATCAGATGGATTAAAAGTAAAACCCGCACTTTTTTTTTTTGCTTTTTGATTATGAATAAAGTTGGATACTTTAAATTTAATAGCTACTTAAATCTCTTCCTTTGTAAATTGTGTTCTTGGTTCATTTTTCTACCAAGATGTTTACCTTTTCCACATTGATTTGTAGTCTCTCTTCTTACATTAGGATATTTTGACTACCACAGATGTTGCAAATATTTCCCCCCATAGTTTGTCTTTTTGCTTTGTTTATGGTGGGGGGAATGGCTTATAAGAATGCACATTTTTAATTTCAATGTAACCACGTCTGTCAGTATTTGTCATCGTGACTTCAGACTTTCCTGCAATGCTTGACAAAGTCTCCCCCAACCCAGGAACATCAAAACTGTCAATCTATGTTTTTTAATACCTGTATGAGTTTACTTTGTATGTTTAAATTTTGGATAAATCAGCAACTTGCCTTGTGGAAAGGAATCAAACAGCAAACCACCTTAGTTTCATTTCCCCAATGGCTAGTAGTCTATCTTTTCCCCACTGCTTTGTAAGATTCCTGTTTGCCCTGTGTTAACTTCTCATATATTTGGGATCTACTTCTGGACTCTATAAACTATGGCACTGATTTGCCTGCCCTGGTGCCACTCCGTTTAGTAACTACAGCTTTATCACGCTTTACCATAGTTGTGGGACACAGATTCCTAATGACTCTTTTTACAGGATTTTCTGCCATTCTGAATTTCTGATTTATTGACTAATTCAGAAAACTGACCTCTTTACCCTATGGAACATTCTGAGAATAAATTATAGCTCTTCACTGATTTCAGGTTTTCTCTGATATCTACTGGTAAAGTTTTATGATTTTCTTTAAATGGGTTCTGATTAATGTTTTATGATTTACCACATTTGCAAATAGGATTATGTCCTCCCACTATTATATTTTTGAATATATTATTATGTACATGTTAAGATGCAAAAAGAAGCTACTAATTTTGTATATATTTTTATAATAGACCACTTCAAAAATACACTCATTTCTAATTATTTTTTCAGTTGACTCTTTTGGACTTATAGGCATATATAATACTTTCTATAAAGAATAGTAATTGTTTCCTTTGTAATATTTTTATGTCTCACTGCCTTAGACTGAATTCCAGTATTTTACCTGAACATTATTTAACAATAGTGCTGAGAGCAGGAATCATTGTTTTGTTTCAAAGTTTAATGGAAATACTTGAAAGGTTTTACCATGATACTGGCTCTTATGTTAAGAAAAAATCACTTAAATTATGTTCAATAAGTGTCCTGTCCTACTTAACAGCTATTATTTTCATAAATTGATACTAAATTCTTATCAAATACCTTTTAATATTAAAATGATTAAAAGGTTTTTATCCTTTGACTCATTAATATCATGAACTATAATTAAAAGATTTATAATATTAAACTATCCTTGAATACTAGCAATGAGCCTTCACTTGGTTGTTGGGTATTATTATTGTAATAGTATGCTGGATATTATTTGCTAATTTTTATGCAGCACCTTTCATCAACTCAAAGTAAGATTGGTCTGAATGTGTTGTGTTCATCTGAATTGCATGGTTTGATGTCCTTTCACTCTTCTCTGAAACAATGTAAATAAACATAAGAATTGTCTGTTTCTTGCAGTAGACTAACAGACACTGAGAAGTGACTAGAGGTTACCAAGGGGTAGGGGTTGGGGAGGGTGTGGGAAGACGTTGAGGGGGATAAAGGGGAAAAATTATTCACAATCACAATATAAGTTGGTCACAGGGATGGTAGTACAGCATGGAGAATACAGTCAATGACTCTGTAACATTTTTCTACATTGATGGATAGTAACCGCATTAGGGGGGTGAGGATTTAACAATATGGGTAACTGTTGAACCACTGTGTTGTACACTTGAAACCAATAGAAGGTGGTATATCAACGGTACCTCGATTTTAAAAAAACTCCCTGAAAACTAATTGTCTGTTTCTTAAAGACAGAAAGAATTCCTGTATGAAACTATCTGGCCCTGATGCTTTATTTGGGCATAGATCTTCAGGAAACAAATGTTAATGGGAGTTGTATTTTCATCGTGGACTGTACCTTCATCATTATAAAGTGGCCCTCATGGTCAGCCTGGTGATCTGGAGTAACTGGGGGATAAGGATAAATTACTGCAGTGACCCAGGAAACAACAAGGAAGGTCCAAGGAAGCAGCAGTGAGGAGGGGGAAATGAGTCAGATACAGAAATGTTACAAAGATAGCTTTTATCTTTCACTTTTCTGGGCAATCTAAGAAGTTACAATCTCTTCCTGCAATTAGCTCCTCATTGTACATACTTTCCTCTTGTTCCTGAATAATCTACTGCTTATATGTCACAACTAAATTATTAGTCCCTAGAAGAACAAAGAAGGATCTTAAAATTCTTTTGTATTCTTTAAAGCCCACTCTGAGGGAGATACCAGTTAATTCCTTACATGATGGATTCACTCAATCATCACAATAGGATATTGTTATAATGTTGCTCACCAGGAATGAGGAAATTGGTGGTTTACTGTGTTTTCTGCATTAAAGTCATGAGACAACAAAGGCAGAACTAACTACAAAAAGGTGAACTCTTTTGTGAATAACCAGTATCTTCTTATCTTCTTACCCTTCTCCAAAGAGCACTCCACAGGTATGCTGACATCCACAACCCTTGGAAGGGGGGTGGCAAAGGCCCTCATTTAAGAAAACTCAAAAACTCAAAAACTACTAGAATGACCATAAATTCTAGGTCAAATTGCCAATCAACGGGGCTTTAACAACTGAACTCTGATGATGGTGGTTCTCAGGCCCATCTAATGCCTTGTCCTGGCTGGTTCTCAGGGGCTAAGCCTTAACGGAGTGGCCTGAAAGGGCAAAGGCAGGAGACTCACCAGGTTGTCTAACATCCTCATGAGGGCCTCGAACTCATGCTCCCCCAGCCGGCTCTTCTGCAAGGGCCCAAAGGTACTCCCTGCCCACTGCACAGAGCCCACCTCATGGGGTCGGTGCTTCTGCTCCAGGAGGATGAGGTTCTCTGCTCCCCCGGCACTGGACAGGGCAGACACCTGCGGCAAACAACAGAGAGCCCTCAGCTCGCGTGCGTGCGTGTGTGCATGTATGCACACTTACCCATGCACTTACCTGTGCTCATGTGTGGAAAGAGAGTGGGGATCAGGGAAGGTTAGAAACAGAAATGTCTAGAAAACTGAGGAGTATTTGGCTTCCTCCTCCCAGAGGGAAAGCCACTCCAAATTTGGGTGTGCACTACTTCTGGGGAAAGGTTTTAGCTGTTTCTTAATTTCAGTTCTTGGAGACTATAGAGAAGGAAGAAACAGAAGTGTTAAATCTTAAGAGTATAATAGTGGAAAGTGACCCGGGACAGAGACCAACTTCAGATTGATATTTCTGGAGGATGAGATCAGAAAGGGCTCCAAAGAGACTTCAGTTCTTATCTGTAATATTTTCATTTTTTAAGACAAAAATATCTGAAATGAAAAGGCTATTAATATGTATTAATCTGAGTGATAAAATATACTCACTATTGTGAGTATATATTATTCTCTGTGTATTTGAAATCTCTATTTAAAAAAAAATGAAACTTGAAAGAAACAGGCTGGCTTCTGGGCCAATGACTAGTGAGTATAGCCTGATGGGCTGACTGGCAGGTCTAAAGGAAGAATGCATCATCCACGATGGGGTGAGTCAGTCAAGGAAACAGAGAAAGGAGACAGGAGCAGTACTGACTGTGCACAGCCAGGCACTGTGTGGGGGTTAGGCAGCTTTCCTCAGGGGCGCGTATTAGGGCAAGACGTATGTGTATACAGCAGGGAATTTTACAATCATACTAGAAAACATTCCTTAATCTAACTGATCTCCTTATTTCCTAATGCCATGCTCACTCACCTAGAGGTACAGTCCATTTACTCCCTGTATCCACCACTCAGATATAACAGGTTACTGCTGGCTTCCTGGGTAAGTCCAGCTACAGAGAGAGATGGTGGTTTCAGAGTATTCTAGTGAGCCAGGTGTACTGTGTTATACATCAATACCCTAGCGTTCTGATTAATATTGACATCCCATGTAAGTCTGCTTATTACAGTGGAATGGCTTCGATAAATAAACTTTCAGTGTTCCAGTTTTTACTGAAAATGAAAGGATGCAATTTAGTTTGCTGACAAACACAGGTCCAGGAACCCATGAGGATCCTAGACACACCAGAATGTGTTAAATTCACCAGCATTACAAATTGCTCCTGTGAGATTTCTTGGAGGTCAGCCAGGCCCTTTCCCAAGGGGACTCCATCACCCTGTGAAGAGGAGGAAGCAAGAACACTCATTTTCCACACCCTACTCATCGAAGACCTGTGTCCAAGTGAAGCTTCCATTTTTACCTTAAAAAGGTAACTCCTCACCCTGGCAAAAACAGAGAGCTTAGAGGTCCCAACTTGAAGGGCCAGCGCCCTGAGGAGAGGTCCCAGCCTGTGAACTGACCTTTCCCACCAACCCTTACTGTCCCAAAGGCAGCGTAATGTGTGGTGTTTAAAGATAAGGTCTTAGGCATCAGACTGTCTGGTCTGAGTCCTGGCTCTGCCACTTACTCACTGCGTGACTTTGGGCAGCTATTTACTGTGTGCCTCAGTTCTTTCATCTGTATAATGAAACAGTAGTATCTACCTCCTAGAATTATTTAAGGCAATATTTGTGAAGCACTTAGAATAGTGCATAGGGAGTGCCATATAAATGTTCATGATACATGCATTCTGAGGTCTTGCCATGAAAGGCTGAGAAGCATTATCCCCTGGGAACTGGTCATTCCTGGAGGAGGAAAGAGCTGCTGACATCCTTGTAAGAACTGCCTCCTCCCACCTTCCTCTTCCCCTGCCAGTTTCCATGGTGATGAGTAGCAAATGAAGAAAGCCTGAGCTTCTTTCCATCAGCCTGGAAGCTGCCTCTCCCAGCTGGGGATGACCCAGTTTCCTGCAACCCCAAACTGATGGGAAGCAAAGAGAACATGGTCCCCAGAAGAACACAATAGGTTCTTCACCTCGAACCACTAAAACAATCACAGCCATGTTAACCTGTTTGCCAAGGTCACCAAGGGGAGTAGCAGGCCCGCAATGGAGGGCCCTGCTAGCCATTCACCCAGCAACAACCTGGCCAGTGGCTGCAATCCTAAAACATCTGCAGGTTGCTGGTAACCAGGGCCTTCCATGCCTTAACCGCCCACACCTCTGGTCTAATCGTGCCTGCTTTTCTTCCATACCTTCCAGCTTCATTTCTCCCTCTAGAAGCCTCCCTGCTGCACTAGCTGGAAAAAAGCCACTGGAGCTGTTCTGGGGATTCCTGCCTCTCTCCTGTGCACTCTAACATGGGGGTTATCCGCCTCTACCGCCTGTGCACTTTAACAAGGTCACATCAAACCAGTGACTGAAAAGAAACTGACAGCAACAGGGCCAAGAGAGGCAGCTGGAGGGCTGTCTGAGCCAGTGGCTGGCAGCCCCGCCCTTCCATCCCCCTGGGGCTAGACGGCCATCCTGCCTTTGGTGAGACTTTACAGTGGCCATTCTGAGGGTCTGGCGCCTGGGAGAGGTGTGCTTCACCATGTGGGGGACACATGGACATTGCCCTCCATTCACTGTTAGGATTTGCTATCTTTGCAAAGAAATAAGAACTATTTTCCCACAGAAGCCTCTTCTTCAGAAGGAAGATGGGGAGCTCTAAGAGCTCAGATGTGGGGAAGTGCAGGTGGGCTTCTCAGAGGCTCTACCAGGCTCCAACTTCACAAGGTCCAGGGCCAGGGCCAGGGCCGGCGTCACTAGCTGGGGCAGGGAGGCCCACAGCAGTACCACCTTGGTCCTGTTCTACCTTCACCACGTTCTCCTATTCTGACCACTGATGTTTGGGGCAGGAGGAGGGGTCACTCACCCATTTCCTCTAACATCTTTTCAACATTGTCCTCACAATTGTCTTATCAACATATGCCTTTAAAATCGACTGGGAAACACACCACTTATAGAGCCTCCACTAGCCATGCTTATTATCCCATCCTCCCCACTCACCCAGGAGAAGGGCGGCCTTCTCCTGGGTGCTGCTCTGCCCAGACCGGCCAGGGAAGAACAGATGGTCCACCAAAAGGAGCCTGGAGAGAGCTGGTTCAGCCTCAGCACCCAGCCTCCCCCTCCGTCAGCTGAGTCCTAAAAATAAGACCAGCAACACCTCTTCTTGTCTGAAAGGCCCTGTCCTAGCAAAGACACTATAGGCCCCACATCTGCAATTGAGGAAACCTTGATCCAAGCCCACAGCCCCGAACTGGGAAGGATGGAGCCCAGTCAGCTGGGTGAGGCCCCTTGCTCACCTGAGGGCTTGCCACTACGAAAGGACCATATGCTCCTTCGGATAATGGTGGTTATCCAACATCACCTTGTTATCTGATAAAGCTATAGGGGCTGTGATTTCCTAATTCTCCTTCACCAACTCCTTTAGGGGTCGCATGGCCCTGATGCTCCACCCACCCTCCGGCCAACCCCTTACTGGTTAGGAGAACTTCATGATCAGCTGCCTGGACATCACAGTGCGGTTTCCCTGAGTTCAGGCCAGCCACGTCAACACCCCACCATGGCCTGATTTCCACTTCTCTTTCTGGACTTGACCATGGTTTGCAAACTAACCCCTCCAAACAAAAAAGGAAAAAAGACCTCCTGTGTGGTGTGCAGTGACTGTGCACAGTTGGTTGGAATGGGTACCCCCCAGGTAAGATATGAGCCTGGCCTATTACAGTTACTCCCGCTAACTGATGGGCCCAGGCAGCAACCTGTCCTGGACATGGACCTCAAGATTTGGGTGTTGATTTTTAGACAATGGTGACAAATTCTTTAAAGCTATAAAACCGATGCTAAGTGTGAAACTTTAATAGTATACGGCAGTGCTGAGGCAGAGAAATAGGGAAATAGGGTAAGGCTTTCAGATGGTGAGGCTCGCAGGACTCCCTCAATCACAGCCACTGAGCAGGCCCTCCCTGTGCCCACAGGCCCCTGGTCAGGATCACTCCTCGGCCCAGTTGCTGGAGGAACTTGCTTACCTGTATCTCACATGCAGCCTGCAGGTGGAAGATCTTATAAAACGCCTCCTCCACAGTGTCACCGAGGGCAATCACTCCATGGTTTCTTAGCACCAGGATCTGCAGGGGAGCAAATGAACAGTTAAACTTTAAGCCTTTTAAATTGTAGTTAAGAGTGAGAGATTCTGCATTTTATTCAGATCAATGTCCATATCTGATCCCAGAGCTCTCCCACTGCTTGTTAATTCTCTCTGTACAAACACCCCACCACTACCCCACACAAGATTTTAACCCTAAGAATCCATCCTAAGAAACAGAAGATGTTTTATAACATTGAGACTAAATAGCTTGGTGGATTTCTTTGGACAGCCTGGATTATTAGGTGTTAAGAGAATTTAGAAGTCTGAAAAACTGGTGTTTTTTGCTGTTAAAGTGAATGAAATTACTTGATGTCTAATATGAAGGTCCAGTTGACTTGGGAGTCAAAGCTTAGGGCGTGGCTCTCTGAGGGATGCTCTGCAGAAACGGGCGAGTCGCGTCACCTCTCTGGACCTGGGGTTTCCTCTCCATGGACTCAGGGAGGCCCTGGCAGCTCTGTGGCCCCACAGTTCTATGACAGAGCTTGGGTAACCTTCTACTCTTAATTCACTGGTTGTACTCTAGAGGAAATAGAAGCCTAAAGAAACTGAAAGTCTCTCAGCTGATTAGGGGCAGAATTGAAACTAGAACCCAGGAGTTCTCACTGTTGGTGCCATGTTTCTGACTCAGCCAGGGGCAGGCAGGTAAAAGGTGGTGGTGGCGGGGGGCCAAAAATGAATTTCTACCAAGAGCCTAACTCCCCAAGCACCAGAAACTCTTCTTGGTTGCTTTGATCCCTAAGAACTCTATGACACCAGTTGCTTCACACCTGGGAGCTGGAACGCAAACTTATGTGTTGCTCTGTCCTTGCAGACCTGGGCTGAGGCCTGGTGGTCTAATCGTTACATTCTCTCCTGCTGAAAACAGCTGGAGTTTCTTCCTCTCAAGTACCAGAGAAACACAAAGAGATGTTGACTCTGGCCCACAGAAGGTTTTGCAGATAACAAATGCCCACCTCTCAAATTCCTGTAGTATTTCACAAATGTGAACACCCCATCCTTCTCCAGGAACTACTAAAGAGTTCTAGAGAATGCCAGGTGAGAGCAGGCCATCTCCTCGGAGTTAGAGATGGGAAAGCAGGGACTCTCAGGTGGGAAATGACCCAGGCAGCGAGTGCCTTTCGAGGACAGAAGCAAGTGTCTATCAACCTGGGCTTGGCTCTGAAACTTCTACTGATCTGACCACCCCTAATGACATGCTATTATAAAATATGTCTTCAGATTTAAACCAGACAATAGTGAGATCACGTTCTTCTCTATCAAGTTATCAAGAAAAAAAAAACACTGAAGTCTGGGGAGACAGCAGAGAAAGAGCACTCTCATGTTCTAGCCACTGGGTGGGGGAGAGGGCAGCTTGGCAATACGAATTTAGAGTTTTATGATATGCATCTCTAGAAATGTATCCTAAGGAAATCATCTCAAGCAATACACAAAGACTTAGCTGAAAACATTTTCACTGCTGTGCTGTTTACATCAAGAGAAAATTCAGGAAAAAAAAAAATCTTCCAATATCCCATCACAGAGGACTGTTCAGGTAAATGGTAGCATAGCCATTCATATTCTGAAGTATAATTTAATAATGTAAAATAGTGATGGAGAAAATAATAACACACAAAGGTGTTTACTATACATTGCTAAGGGGAACAAAGGAGACTATACTTTATGATCCTAGTTAAGTACATAGGAGTATATTTTGGGTGTGTACCAAAACTTAAGGGCACAGTGAGAGAATTTTATTTACTTTTTTGGTTTCTGGGAAACTTCTAAACATTGCCCAATGAACATGTATCACTTGTGATGTTGGTTTGTGACAATCCCACCCCCAAGCATCTTCCCAGAACAGCTGAGCCAAACCTTGCAGGTGGGTCCAAGGCACTTCTGCAGGTTGATCCGATCAGCTTCCTGCTCCATTTCGCCATTGAAGTCATAATAGGCCATGTCCCCCACCAGCAGCGCATTGTGGGAGACGGGCAGGAGGCCACTCTTCATGGCCGACACCTTTAGTGAGATGACTGAAGTTAGCCCCTGCGGGCTCCCCCACTAGTCTGTCTCGTTCGCCCTTTCCTCTGAGTGGCACAGCCATGTTCTACTCTGGGGCCCACGTGGGGAAGGAGCCAGCACACAAGAAAAGCACCTCCCTTTGACTGTCTTCCACCTGGCCGGGGTCTTGCTTTCTGGCTGCTTCCCCTCCTGTCTTTCCTTCAGTTTTCACAGCAACCATGTCAGTATATCAGCTTCCACAGTTGCTCCAGAGAATGCACTCCAGAGAGCTGCTATTGCCACCCCTGCCTTGCTTGCGTCCTAGGACTCTGGGCAGCAGCATAAAACCGATGCTAAGTGTGAAACTTTAATAGTATACGGCAGTGCTGAGGCAGAGAAATAGGGAAATAGGGTAAGGCTTTCAGATGGTGAGGCTCGCAGGACTCCCTCAATCACAGCCACTGAGCAGGCCCTCCCTGTGCCCACAGGCCCCTGGTCAGGATCACTCCTCGGCCCAGTTGCTGGAGGAACTTGCTTACCTGTATCTCACATGCAGCCTGCAGGTGGAAGATCTTATAAAACGCCTCCTCCACAGTGTCACCGAGGGCAATCACTCCATGGTTTCTTAGCACCAGGATCTGCAGGGGAGCAAATGAACAGTTAAACTTTAAGCCTTTTAAATTGTAGTTAAGAGTGAGAGATTCTGCATTTTATTCAGATCAATGTCCATATCTGATCCCAGAGCTCTCCCACTGCTTGTTAATTCTCTCTGTACAAACACCCCACCACTACCCCACACAAGATTTTAACCCTAAGAATCCATCCTAAGAAACAGAAGATGTTTTATAACATTGAGACTAAATAGCTTGGTGGATTTCTTTGGACAGCCTGGATTATTAGGTGTTAAGAGAATTTAGAAGTCTGAAAAACTGGTGTTTTTTGCTGTTAAAGTGAATGAAATTACTTGATGTCTAATATGAAGGTCCAGTTGACTTGGGAGTCAAAGCTTAGGGCGTGGCTCTCTGAGGGATGCTCTGCAGAAACGGGCGAGTCGCGTCACCTCTCTGGACCTGGGGTTTCCTCTCCATGGACTCAGGGAGGCCCTGGCAGCTCTGTGGCCCCACAGTTCTATGACAGAGCTTGGGTAACCTTCTACTCTTAATTCACTGGTTGTACTCTAGAGGAAATAGAAGCCTAAAGAAACTGAAAGTCTCTCAGCTGATTAGGGGCAGAATTGAAACTAGAACCCAGGAGTTCTCACTGTTGGTGCCATGTTTCTGACTCAGCCAGGGGCAGGCAGGTAAAAGGTGGTGGTGGCGGGGGGCCAAAAATGAATTTCTACCAAGAGCCTAACTCCCCAAGCACCAGAAACTCTTCTTGGTTGCTTTGATCCCTAAGAACTCTATGACACCAGTTGCTTCACACCTGGGAGCTGGAACGCAAACTTATGTGTTGCTCTGTCCTTGCAGACCTGGGCTGAGGCCTGGTGGTCTAATCGTTACATTCTCTCCTGCTGAAAACAGCTGGAGTTTCTTCCTCTCAAGTACCAGAGAAACACAAAGAGATGTTGACTCTGGCCCACAGAAGGTTTTGCAGATAACAAATGCCCACCTCTCAAATTCCTGTAGTATTTCACAAATGTGAACACCCCATCCTTCTCCAGGAACTACTAAAGAGTTCTAGAGAATGCCAGGTGAGAGCAGGCCATCTCCTCGGAGTTAGAGATGGGAAAGCAGGGACTCTCAGGTGGGAAATGACCCAGGCAGCGAGTGCCTTTCGAGGACAGAAGCAAGTGTCTATCAACCTGGGCTTGGCTCTGAAACTTCTACTGATCTGACCACCCCTAATGACATGCTATTATAAAATATGTCTTCAGATTTAAACCAGACAATAGTGAGATCACGTTCTTCTCTATCAAGTTATCAAGAAAAAAAAAACACTGAAGTCTGGGGAGACAGCAGAGAAAGAGCACTCTCATGTTCTAGCCACTGGGTGGGGGAGAGGGCAGCTTGGCAATACGAATTTAGAGTTTTATGATATGCATCTCTAGAAATGTATCCTAAGGAAATCATCTCAAGCAATACACAAAGACTTAGCTGAAAACATTTTCACTGCTGTGCTGTTTACATCAAGAGAAAATTCAGGAAAAAAAAAAATCTTCCAATATCCCATCACAGAGGACTGTTCAGGTAAATGGTAGCATAGCCATTCATATTCTGAAGTATAATTTAATAATGTAAAATAGTGATGGAGAAAATAATAACACACAAAGGTGTTTACTATACATTGCTAAGGGGAACAAAGGAGACTATACTTTATGATCCTAGTTAAGTACATAGGAGTATATTTTGGGTGTGTACCAAAACTTAAGGGCACAGTGAGAGAATTTTATTTACTTTTTTGGTTTCTGGGAAACTTCTAAACATTGCCCAATGAACATGTATCACTTGTGATGTTGGTTTGTGACAATCCCACCCCCAAGCATCTTCCCAGAACAGCTGAGCCAAACCTTGCAGGTGGGTCCAAGGCACTTCTGCAGGTTGATCCGATCAGCTTCCTGCTCCATTTCGCCATTGAAGTCATAATAGGCCATGTCCCCCACCAGCAGCGCATTGTGGGAGACGGGCAGGAGGCCACTCTTCATGGCCGACACCTTTAGTGAGATGACTGAAGTTAGCCCCTGCGGGCTCCCCCACTAGTCTGTCTCGTTCGCCCTTTCCTCTGAGTGGCACAGCCATGTTCTACTCTGGGGCCCACGTGGGGAAGGAGCCAGCACACAAGAAAAGCACCTCCCTTTGACTGTCTTCCACCTGGCCGGGGTCTTGCTTTCTGGCTGCTTCCCCTCCTGTCTTTCCTTCAGTTTTCACAGCAACCATGTCAGTATATCAGCTTCCACAGTTGCTCCAGAGAATGCACTCCAGAGAGCTGCTATTGCCACCCCTGCCTTGCTTGCGTCCTAGGACTCTGGGCAGCAGCATTGGCACCAGGCTGGGGCCAAGCAGGACTCAGGGTTCCCTGGGGTGGCTGGTGGAGACCAAGAGCCTTGAGGTCAGTGCAGACACAGCCATGACTTCATTAACGTAGAGTCCCTGTGAGAAGCCCCACTTCACTGACAACATGGCAATGGATGCCAGCGTTAAATCCCCGCTGTAACCCCCATGCCCAGCTCTTTATTAAAAGCAAGGAATGTGGAGACTCCCGCCCTCCTTCACTCACTTCATCCCACAGCTAAGCCGGGGCTCTGCAGAAATGGACACTGAGCACAAACACATCATCCATTCTTGTTCCAAATTCTGGAAGGTCTGAGTGCTTGTCATGGGTGTGTGCTGAGAAAACCAGAGGCCAGTAACAAATCTGCTCTGTCCCTGGAGGTGTGTGGCTGGGGGTCAGTAAGGTGGGGTGCAGGTTGAGGGAACACCAAGAACTTAGGGCCGTAGGAACATGTGGAGAAACAACTCAAGGGCACACCTGCTCCTCAAGGGTACTCCTCCTAGTCTCTCCTGGTTTTTCTTGCTCCTGTCCCCTCCTCTCAGCCCACTCTGGGCTATGAAAAGTGGGCAAGTCCAGGTTCCCACCATCTGATCTTCTATCAAGATCTCTCCTCTAGAGCCTGAGCCATGGGCGGCAGGCACCAGCCCTCACCGGGTCCAACAGGACTGCTCTGAGCTGAAACTCAGGAGGTGCCACCGCCTGGGAAAGTGGCACCAGTTTATCTATGTAGTGGGGCGGGGGATGCAGTGGGGCAGACATTATACACCTTTACCTGATCCCCTCAACCAAGACTTCCGTAGCTGAAAGAATGGAGAGGATTACGGTCCCCTCTTGGGGTGGTGTCCTTACCTCACCTTGGCCTGAGTTCCAGGAAATCTTTCCAGAACTGTTTCAAACTCTCTACTAGCCTAGGGAGAGGGGGGTCATGTCTTTCCTCTAAGAGACTCTCTGAGTAGCCAGCTTCGGAGAGGGAACGTGGCTGAGGAGCAGGCACTCACCGCCGCCGTGGCTGGCGTGTGCAGGTGAATGACGCACCGCACGTCGGGTCTGGCTGCATAGATGGCCGAGTGCAGACAGAAGCCAGAGGTGTCCACTGGGAAGCAGCTGCTGCCCTTCTCCACCACCTCGCCCAGAATGTTCACCTTGATCTGGGCCACAGAAGAGAGACTTATGGCTATAGGGAAGGCAGAGGCCCCTCCAGTAGGCTGCACATGCCTACCCACCAGACTTCATTCATTCCACCACACCCTGAGCAAGACTGGGCTTGGTGTTGGGAGAAAAAGCCCAGAGCAGGCCCTTGGGGAGTGCACTGGCTGACAGCAGACACAGGGGACTATAATTCAACACAAAAAATGCTCATCTTTCTCAGTCTTCACTGTGCATAAAAGTCCTGTCAAAATGCAAACTGATGCAGTAGGCCAAGAATGGGGCCTGTGATTCTGCATTTCTAACAAGTTCCCAAGTGAACAGAAACTTGATCATACCACTCACCCACTTACAATGCTTCAGAGGTTCTACATGTCCGGCAGAATAAAGCCAGAGCACCAAAACAGAGCCTCAGTGCCACTCATCATCTGCTCCTCATCCCCTTCCCAGCCTCACCCCCAGCCACTGAATATGTGAGCCACACTTGGCCACTACCTGTCCTCCCAAGCGCACCAGGTCAGGCATGCATCTAGCCTTCGTGAGCAACGCACTCTTGCCAAATCCCTGCTGCCCAACCTGTCCCTGCCTCCTGGCCTAAGTCTGCTGTGGGCCCCTGAGGTCTCCGCTCTGTCACCCGAGAGGCCCCACCAACCTCCTACAGCACCCACTGGGCCTGTGCCCTCTCCCCAGGCCATGCTTCCTTCGTCTCAGAACACTCTCACTCTAGAGTTTCATCCCCAATTGCCTCACCTGCTCCCCCAACCAGACCAAGAACTCCTTAAAGACAGAGCCTGTGCTGTCCTTGTGTTGTGGTCCTAGTCCTTGGCCATGACCTCCATGGGAGGCCCTGTGCAAGTCACTTACCATCCTTTCCTCCTTGTAAAGGGGACTTTGCAGTCCTTGAGGTCCTGTCCTGCCCAGATATGCCAGGATTTCTCAGCCTGCTCTTTTAACGGAGCACCTGGACTCAACATGTGAGTGTGTCTCAGGCCTGGCAGAGGCCCCGAGGTGGCACCCTCCTCTCCCAGGCACACAGCCACAGAGCGGCCCATGCATCTAAACACCATTGGGCGTCAACTGCTTCTGAGACAGTCCTTTCTACTGCTTTCCTCCTCCCACCGTGAGATCTTTCTTGATTGAAACCAACTTCTGGAAATTTCTTCCTACCACATCTAAAAGGAGCAGGAGAATGGGAAGGGGTCCCAGGAGCAATCCCTAAAGGCTCAGTACTAGACGAGTTTTGCATGGTTTTGGGACAAAGCATGGGCTGTGGCTCTAACGTACCCCCAATCCAGGAAGGCCTCCCCACTCCTAGCCTTTGTGGTCCAATCTCTGGGTCTGGGGACTCCAGGCCCATCTCTCGTCCCTCCTCCCTCCTACCGCACTTTCTGACTGCACCTCACGTGTGGTCTCATGGCCACATCATGCTCTGGGCACTCAGTTGCTTTGGTGTACGTGTGTCTTCTCTTCCCCACCAGACTGCAAGCTCCATGAGGGACAGGACTGCAGGGGCCAATGTGGAGATGACCTTCTCTGAAGGAGCAGAGCGGGAGCTGTCATTTCAGTAAGGAATGGGCAGTGGGACACCAGGCTGTACTCACCAGGCTGGAAGCTGTGACCTCGCTGCAGGAAACTCCCTTCGGGCTCATCAGGAAGTGGTCCTGCTCCTTGCTGACTCTCAGCTGGTGGAGACACACATTCTCAGTGGCAAGGAGGGAGAGGGGACATTTCCAAGGATACTCTTCTTAAACCCTTTCTTACCCTGAATCCACTGCACTCGAACCTCCCTCTCAAGAACCCTTATCTCCCTTCTGACCCCTCAGAGATGAAGAGGACTCAGCCTTTATTTGGCACTGGGAAAATGGAACTACAATAGGAAGCTCCCAATGGTCAAGGGCAGCCCTAGAAACAGGGTCCAGGAGCCCATGGCTCCTCAACCACAGGGTGGGTTATCTATTTCAGGTAATCACACTGGTTAGGAACCTTGAAGGGGCTCACTCAATTTTGACCAAAGGCCCCCAGTGGTGCCACGGCCATGCCAAACATCAGGAACTCTCCCTTCGGGTTTTGTGGGGACCACACACAGGGCTTCCCCCACTCCAAGATGCCCTCCTCACCGTGACATAGGTGTCACTCAGCTGAGCCCAGCCATAGAGGTCCAGGAGCCGGTAGACACTGCTGATCTTGCACCGCATGAGCCGCTCCCCCTTGGCCAGGTTCAAGGAGTCAGCTGTGTGGAGGTCGTTGATGGGCGTCACCACAGAGAAGTCTGCAATTGCACAGAGTAGCCCTCAGGCCAGGGGCTTCCATCCACCACCTCCCGACCCCACCCTCCTTGGCCCTGGTCTTTTCCAAATTCTCACTGGTTCTACAACTGCACAAGAGATTCTGCAGGCAGGGAATTAAACATTCTTTGACCCTTACTAGGGGAGAAAGTCCACAGAATGGAGAGCTGTGCTCAACAAAGTCCTCTGCTTATTTGGGTAAAGATGGCATTGCTTTTGGACAAAAATCATGGCAAGACTTCATGTTTGGGTTCTTGGAATGCTAAACTTACCATAAATTCAAAAACTGACACAAAAATATATGGGATGAAAGCAAGAATACATTTCTGAGCAGAAATATGTGTACATTTCATTAGTTAGTTTTAATGAAGTTGTTAATAATCATCAGGCCTGCTCTTATCATACTGTTTTAACTATACCATGTAATGCAACTTTTTCTCTGCCTTGGAAATAGGGCAGACAGAAAGCCACGTCAGCCAGGAAGTAAATGCCTCAACTTTTTCTGACAAGTCATAAACTTCCAGAAGTTAGTGTGGCTGTGGCTGGATGGAGGACTCAAGGACTCAGGCAGGCCACATCTGCTCCCTTCCCTCCGGATATGCAGTTCCTTGATGGTTATTTTTGGTTCTTTCTGGGAATCTGGTGTGGGGTGGTGTAGAAGGGATTTGCAAATGGGCCTAGACAGTTTGACAGTCCTGTCCTTACGTCTAGGAGATGACCTCCATTCTGTCCCATTAACCATGATGACTGCTACCTGAATGCCTCAGGAAGGCAGGAGAGGGCATCTGAGCCCCAGCTCTCTGATCAATCAGTGTCCAGGAACTAATAAAAGAATCAGTAGGAAAGGGTTCCTGCTTAAAATGTCTGGCTGGGAGCCTTCTGATGCTGCCTTTCCCAGAGTCCCACTAAAAACTTTAATGGATTAAAATGCCCCTTGGAAGCTTCTACCATTTCTATAAACCTCACTGCTGTACAATGTGGTGCATGTCCTGCATCCGGTTTGCCACTAGTGGACATGACGAGGTGGTCTGGGAATGTGCGGGTGGACTGGGTGCTGCTGGGCCTAAGCAAGCAGAGCGAGGAAAGCAAGTCTCAGACACTGTGTCAGGAGAACACACCCAAAGGGCCTGTCCCACCAGAGGTGGGACACCTCCAGGGCCTGTGCCAGCAAACACAGTTGACAGGGACAGAAGTAGTCCAAAGGCTCAGCTGAACTGGCAAGAAAACTAACAACAAAATTCCAAAATCAAGGATTTCTAACTCATATTGGCCAGTCTGGGATCCCTTCTGCCTCTCTGCATTCCCCAGGCAAGAAATTACCTCTCTGCTTCATCCCTGGCAACAACAGGGAGGCATATCAAAAGCATAAGGCCCCAGGCAAGCCAGGCAGGGTGGTCTATTATAGGGAGAGTCTTCAGACCGGAGTTCTTTTCCTCCTTTTCTTACCAATAATACGGAGTCCCAGCGATAGGAGGCCAGCATAGGTCTGTAAACACCCTCTCCATCACGACCTCATGTCCTGTACCAGAGCCCCCCTCCCCCACCCCGCCACGCTTGCCATGAGGGTTGCCCCACCCACAGGCCCTAGGCGGAGGAGACCCGCTCTACAGGAGTCCCATCCTCTGCTCTCAGGGTCTTAATAGAAACAATGCTTAGTCTGACCAGTCTCACAAAAGTTAGGGTAGCTGAACATCAGATTTATGACTCAGATATGAGTCATTTATTCAAAGTACCTAGGAAAGCACAGAAAAAAGATGACAACTCACCAAACTCCCTGAAAGCTAAGACTGAAGGACACCCTACTGAAAAGGAACCAAAACCCAAAAAACAAAACACATTCTAAGGACCAAGGAGCTGGAGAAAGAGCAACCTAGCTGGGCTTGAACTCATAACACTTGGAACTCCCCCGACCCCCAACATTCCCTGACTCGGATGCTCCGGATGTGCACCAACCGCATTTTCAGGCATCTAACATCTTCCTGACAGATGCTGCTCATTCTCATTGAGGCAGTGGGAATGCTGGTCAGCCCTATTTCTCAAAAGGAAGAGTATAAAGTCAGAGACATGAAAATGATGAGAAAGAATATGATAGATAATGCGAGACAAAGACCAGAGAGCCAGCATATAGATAATTAGATAATCTTTTTTCAGATCCATGTTAAAAACTGCAAGGATATAACTGCTATCCAGGGAAAAGTCCATAAAAAGAAAAAACCTACAATTACATGCTTCCTGACAACATTTCTGAAATACAAGGATAAGGGGGAAAATCCACAAGCATCTAGAAAAAAATTCATTACTTACAAAGGAACAAAATATAGGCTGTTTCAGATTTCTCTGCTGTAGCAACAGATGCCAAAAGACAGTGCCAAGGCTTACACAGAACAAACACTAAGGTGAAGTGACATGAAACAGGTAAAAATAAACAGATCACCAAAAGTATGCTAAGTAAATATAAAGAAAAATAAACATAAGTCATAATATTATCAAAGTAGAAGTCAAGGAATGCAATACTCTTTTTGGACAAAACGGCATTTTTGTAGGGCATTTATACAGATTAAAGGAATATCTACATAGCTATAGCTATAAAGAACTCTGATATTTGAATAGCACTTCATCAAGATGTACAAAGCAGAAGTTATCAGAAATATACAGAGAAATGAACAGAAATCAAATATAGTGGGAGACATAATACAGCTATCATTTTTTATAAAACCAGAAATACTAAAGATAGAGATTTTTAAATAAAAACCTAAAAATAGAGTCTATACCCATACTTCATTTGAAAATATTAGGCTACAAAGAAAATCTCAACAAATCCCCAACATAGACATTAAAACATAATACAATAGAAGTAAACATTACCAATAAATCTTTCAAAGAATATAAGTTCAACCACTTGGAAATGAGAAAACACACTTTCAGAGAGTTCTCAGAACAAAAATAAAATCAAAACAGCACCTGACAACTACCTGAAAATTAACAGTAAAGGAAAAACTATATGTCAAAATTCATGGGATAAGACCAAACTATACACAGAGAAAAAAATACTCATAGCCTTAAATGTTTTTGTTACTCAATTAAATAAGAAAATAAATCAAATCCATTTTATTCTATTCAATAAAAATACAAAGAACTAAATAAACCAAACAACAGTGATGTAAAAGAATTAATGAACATAAAAACATAATCAATGAATTGGGAAATGAAAACTTAGAAGAACCAACATGTAAATTCATGAGTTGGTTTATGTGAGATCTATAAACAAACTAACATCTGGATTGGCCAGTAAATAGAAAGTGGGAATACACAGCACCAGGAATGAGAATGGGATGTCACCTCAGCCACAATGAAAGTTTAAGTGACAAAAACAGTATTGCCAATCACAACTAGTAATTTTGAAAAGTTCTATGAAATGGATTATTTTATGAAAAATAGATGACCAAAATTTACTTAAGAAGCAGCAGAGTAAATTTTTAAAGAACCTGGGTGAAACTGAGAAAGATAGATGGTTTAAAATGTGCTAGAGCTGGAGGTCCTTACAAGTGATAATACATCTTCAAGGAACAGAGACTCCATCAAAGCAAAGAAAAGGGTGGGATCACCCTGATTCAACTTAGGAAATCATAGCCTGAATGCCAACACAAAAGAAGACTGGCCCAAAAGTAAAATGCTGACCAACCTCATGTGTGAATATGGAGGCAAAAGTCCTTAATAAAATTTTAACAAATCAAATCCAGAAGAGTAGTTTTAAAAGAATATATCAAAACCAGGGATGATTTATTTCAGGAATGTAAAAAAAGAGTTCAATATTCAGAAATCTATTAATAAAATTCATCACATCAACAGTTCAGGGAAAGAAAAATCAATAAACACCCCAAACGCATTTTATAAAATTCAACATCCATTTCTGAGAAAAACCTATATTGAACTAAAAAGATATTTCCTCAACATAATGAAGAATAACTATTTCAACTCTTGTGGAAAAAAAGATTTCCATTAAAGTCAGAAACAAGACAAGGATGATTACTCTCTGATCTATTATTAAACATTATTCTAAGAGGTCTAATAATTGCAATAAGAAACCTGGGAAAATAAACAAAACAGTAAATGTTGGAATGAAAGATACAAAATGACCATGATTTGCAGATGATGTGATTTTTCTATATATAAAACCCAAAATAATTAACTGAGAAGATAAGAGAATTTAGAAGTGCGATCAGGGGCTGGCTTAAATACATATATTCATTAGCTTCCCTAGATGATGGCTGTAACCACAAAGAAAACTGAATGGAGCATCTTTCAAAATAACAAATTACATAAAATTTCCAGGATAAACACAAGAAATTAGTAGGGAGTATATGAAAATAACTTTTCTGATGGACTAAAAATAAATAGAAGACACATCATTTCTGGAAAGATTTAAAGTTCATTCATGAAAGTACTTTTTATGCACCTACTATGTGTCAGCTACTTTTCTAAGTCCGGGACACTACTCTAGGATATAAACATACACATATCCTTTCCCTCAAGGAGCTTACATTCTAATATGGTAATTTAAATTTATAAAGTCTCCACCAGATTAATGTATTCACTTAATGTAATCCCAATTAAAATACCAAAAGGAGTTTTTTGAGATGGATGGGGAGACTTGATAAAATACTTGCAGTTATTTTAAAGAATCAAGTTGTACAAAGAGTTGGGAAAAACCAGCAAATGAATGATGAAGGGTATTTGTCCCATCAGATGATAAAACATGGGGAAGGTGTTTCTAAGCATGAGATCAAGGGCAGAACAGAGTTCAAGGAAAAGAGCAATGGATTCAACTAAATGGAAATGAAAGAATTATGTACCACAAGAACACCATAAAGAACATTAAAAGGCAAAGGAGCCACTGGAAAAAAAACTGCAATCTATATGACAGACAGTAGGGAAATTGCCTTACTTTGTAAAGATTTAAAAATTTGTAAGAAAAGAATAAGCAAGTAGGAAAACTGGCAAAAGATGTGACAGGCAATTTACTACTAAATGAAAATTATGTAGTAATTTTATCATTAGTAATCAAATAGATGCACATTAAAACACAAATAAAGTACCTTTATATCACCTATGAAATCATGAGGATGAAACAAATATAAGATAGACAGATGAGAGTGGAGAAAATGGGCACTCTGGTGGGAATGTAAATTAGCTCCATCTCTCTCCGGGTAATCTGGCATTACGCATTAAAGTCTTTAAAACATGTGTAGAATTCAGTCTAGCAATTCACTTCTCATAATTTGTCTTAATATAATCACAAATATGATCACAGACTTATTTACAAGGATATATACTGCATTGTTAATAAAAGGAAAAGCTGGAAATGACCTAAAAGTCCAAATGTGGGAAATTGATTAAATGAACTGCCACATTCAGCCATGTCATAGATTAACATATGCCTGCCAAAAATAATATTACAGAACCAGTTTTGTTATGTGAAAAATCAGTCAAGATATATTAAAGCTATCAAACTTGTATGAATAATGTGATTCCATCTTTGTTTGAATATCCTATATATATTCAGAGAAAAAGGCTGGAACAATATACACCAAAATATTGACAAGAGTAATTTCTTGGTTGTAAAAATACAGTACAGTGATTTTTATTTCATTTTCTTGATTTCCCTAAATTATGTCACCATAATCCTGTATTCATCATGTTGAGGAGGAAGTATTTTTTGTTGTTTCTTAAAAGTTGGGGACAAAGCTTCAGCTCCCAGGAAGATGGGCTCATGGTTAGCCCTGGCTGCTCCTGGCCCTGACCTATGGAGTCAGGTAGGCCTGTCTGGTGGGGCCTGTCTAGTGGAGACACTGGCTTCAGTGGCCTGCTCCCATCCCCACCACTTCATCTCCAAGGGAGTGTGGCTCCAGCAGACTGAGGACAGGGCAGCCTGAGTCAGGGAATGCTGCTAGCTGCTGATACACAAATAATCTTCTTGGGTCCTGTACCCATAGCTAGAGTGACAGGAGCAAAATCCTCACTCTCCACTCCTGGGGTTATCAGCAAAGGCCAGGTACGAGACCTTGAGTTGCAACCTTCATGCTGATACACTTATGAGGGGTTGGAGTGGGGGTCATGTGTATGCTACCCTGCCTCTCAGAGCAGTGATGCCCTGTTATCCTGCCCCCTTCTCCCCAGGATCAGAACTTGGTTCTTCCCTAAGTCACCACCACCATGCCCTCCTATTTCTGGGCATCAGGGAGAACTCCCCTGTGGGTCTTTAAGTCACAGCAGCATCAGAAGCCGAGCCAGGTACCTTTCTGGCTGCTGCTCAGCTACCCCAGGCCTGCTAATTTAAGTGCACAGCTCATTCCTCACTCTGTAGCCTGGCAACCACAGGCTTCTTGCTGCTCCTTCCTCCCTTCTCCTCCTGACTTCCTCCACCTCTGCTCCTGGCAGCTCCCCAGCTCCCCACGTACTCATGGAGGATGTTGGGAAGACAGCGTGGGAGGTGCTGGCCATGAAGTCCGCGATCTGCCGCAGAGCCCAGATGTTGGAGGAGTTGTTCCCCTTCTTCATCTGTTCCTGGATGAGGCCCTCCAGCTCCTCCCTGAAAGACTGAAGCAGACCCCCAGCTGTTGGTCCCCCAGTGGGTCTCACGCAGGAGACTAAGGGCCCCCTTCCTAGCCCAGGGTCAGTGAGGTCAGGGCCACACTTGGGATCCCTGGGCCTCAGAGGACATCAGGAATTGCACTGGGACCTCAGGAGCCTCCCTAAACTGGTTCGGGGGCATGACCAGGAGATGCTGGGAATGGATCCAGTCCCCCTTGCCCTGGGGGGTAGTCCTCCAGATTCCAGGGAGGACTACTTACTGTTTCTAAGTGATAGTCAAGACTGCTCCACATTCTCAGACACAGCAGGACTTCACTTTAATGATTAAGAGACATTTTATAAGGCAGAACCATCTTCCCTGTCCATTACCCATGCCTATGGCCTCTTCTGGACCTCAGTTTCCCCACATTCAGAAGGATTTGATCTCTCAGGTCACTTCTACTTCTGAATCCCACTACTCTAAGGCAGGCTTTTCAGTCTCATCAGATCACACACGCCACCAGCTGGGACACTCAGGAGGAAAAACACAGCCATTTAGTGTTGGTGAATCTACAAAAGGACAGAAGCATGAACTCCTGTCCCCATCTCTGGCCTGAGAATACAGTCCCATCCTTCAGGGCCCAAAACATGGGTTGGTATTAACTCTGCCACTTCTCCTACCACACCAGCCACTCTCCTAGGCACACTCAGGTTTTTCCATCAATCCCAAAGCCTTTAGCACCTGCCATATTCCTCCACAACAATGTCACCTGTCACCAAGACCTCAGGCCCATCCCCTCTGACTGTGCTCCTCTGAGAGGCCTGAGCATCTACTCTGCTCTCAACCAGGGCCACGCACAGCCCTACACGCCCTGGCTCGCTGAAGCCCAGTGAGGGCTGAGGCAGAGCCTGCCCTGGCATGTTCCTGGAGATGCCAGCTCCAACCTGAGCTTTCCAGCACTTAGGTCACACAGTTTCCTGAGGACTCCCCAGCATTACCACCCTGACTTCCATTGCCTCCTTCCACACTGCTCTTCCCCAACCACAGCCTACATCGCCTCCTCCTTCAGTGATCCATTAGGCCTGTGCTCTGTCCTTCTCAGTATCCTCCACCTGCCTCAATGATGAGCTGTGGACTCAAGTCTGGGACCACGGTGGGGTGAGCACGACTTGCCTTCCCCAGCCCCTGTCCCACAGCCTCTGTACACTCCACTCTCCCCACTTCTCGGGGCTTCCAGGCCCTCTTCACCTCCATCCTGTGGATGTCAGCCTTACTGCCTGGCAGTGAGTTCTTTCAGTGTTCAGACAGGGAGCCCCTATCCTCCCACGTGGCACCACCTGCTGGCCTCTGGTTTCCAGGTATATGCCTCTTCACCATTACAGCTTTTGGTGAGAAGGGAAAGTAAGACTAGAAGCTGAGGCTCACAAGGGGCATAGGAAGAGGAGCTGGGGCTCCTGTCTCCCAGACCCACCTCCTCCTGCCACCAAGCCAAGGTTTTGTCATCCACCAGTGACTAGGAACAGAATCAAACACCCACACGACCAGACCCCATCTTGCTCAATGGCCTTAAAATTGCTACGACCCTGAGCAAGGGGAAGGGAGGTTCTTTATCTTTAGGTTCATCCAGAGGAATCAGCGCCATCCCCCTCCCCGCCCCTACTCCTCCCCCGGGCGCCCAGCCAGCAGCCGGCTCACTGGGCTCCGCAGGATCATGGTGACCCGCTTCTTCTGCTCCATCAGGTTGAAGTCCTGCCGCAGGTCCGCCGCACGGCTGCGAAGGCGCAGGTACTCAGGGTCGTCCTCAGAGAAGCGGTCGAAGTACTGCTGCTCCTGCGGGGGCGGCGGGGAAGCAGCCTCGGGGACAGTCTCCTCACTCATCGTCCTTGTGGGTTTACGATCCACTCCCGGAGCCCTGCGGAGAAGGGGGAAGGGAAGTGGACAGGTCGGTGCTCCCAGGCAGGGTACCCATTTCCCGAGGCCGAGGGGCCGGATTCGGTCGCAGTCACGGTGGCATGCAGCTCTTCCCCGCGGCCGCCGAGCCCCGGGGTTAGAGGGCAGGGCGCAGGCAGCCGCCGAGCTACAGGGGGCGCTTATGCACCACCGGACTGAGTGACAAATACGGCAAAAGCGCCAGGGCCTCCGCCCTCCCTGACAGACCCACCAGATTAGACCGCCGCGCTCCGGACGGAGCAGACAGAGTTCCTCAGGGGCAAGCGGGACCTGCAGACTTTTTTGAGCGTTTCCGTGATGCAGACCTACAGAGTGTGAAGCTATTTGCTGGGAATTAGTACTTCATCTAAAATGCAAACCGTCTAAGAAGTCCCCTAAAAAAAATGTGGCAGGAAATTCACAGAGAAAGCTGGAAGGAGAACAGGAACTACTGAAAGGTGGGAGACGCTTTGGGCAATGCTTTTCCAAACAAGGTGGACTTTGTTCTGGCCTCTGGAAAAGAATTATTGGTGAATCTGCATAAATGTGTCTTAATGCAGAATCAGATTCTTAGTCCAAGTTTAAAAGAGGTGTGCACTTTTTATTAATGGGAAATTAGTTTCTCCCAAAGCCCACTAAATATGTATTTAGAAATGGTAAGAGAATTAACCACTGTTTGAAGGGCACCACTTTGTCCAGAGTCCCACATATCTTAACCCGATCCTGGAATGAGCACCAGGACAGTCTTTGGAGAGTTGGGAGGGGGAAAAGCAACAGGTTTTTTCTACTCAAGCTTGCTTTTTGAAATGCCTGACAGAGAATGAAGGAATGTCTTCTCTTGCTGTGTTGGAGCCCTTCTGAAGAAGCAGGCTGTAGCTCCAGCCTCCAATGCCCAGCTCTGCGGCTTTGGCCACACCTGTCTCCCTTTGCGTGTCAGCATGGGAGGCCCTCAGATCTGTACTACATGCCCTTCAACACAGGGCAGCCATACAGAGCTTCGGCCTCATCCGTCTTGGCTGATCCCCTCCCTTCTCCGCAACAGACAGGAAGTGCCTTGACTGAAGGATGATTAGCTTTTGAACAGGAGTAAGGAATACTAACAAAAGTATCATAAGGGCCCAGACACCTGGCTTTCATCCTTAACCTGCCCCTCGGTCACTTTACCTCCCCAGGTTCCCAACCCACAAGGCGGAGTGCTTTCTATTTCTCTCAGAGTTCCTGGTCTCTCTGGTCCTGCTCTTTCCTCTCCATGGATCCTGTCAAGCCTTAACTTTTATTCCAGCTAGCTGCTCATTATGAAAGCCCGGAAAGCCTATTCTTGTCTGTGAGCTGTCTGTGACCTCTTCCATCTTTGTCAGGACGCTGCCTACACCGTACAGTTCCTCTGAGTGGGGTGGGTGGGGTGATGCGCTAGGGTAGAGGAAGAGTGGACATCTACCCTATCAGCCCAGCACATGCAAGCAATTTGTTTTTCCTCCCAAGGTCCCTCCTTCCTTTTATCCCCCTTTTGGGGATAAGCAAATAACAAGTTCAAGGGAGGGCACAGGTACAGAAGGGCCAGCTGATAACCTAAACCCCTGGCCTTGAGCAGTGTTTCTCAACCTTGGGGGCACACTGGAATCACCTGGGGAACTTTAAAAAAGGCTGACATCAGAGATCTTAATGGTACTAGTCTCGGGTGTGACCTGGACATCAGGATTTTTAAAAGTTCCCTAGGTGATTCTGACAGGCAGCCAGAGTTGAAATACCACTGGCTAGATGTTAGTGGTTGTAAAATGTTATGGAAGGCATCCACTCCAGGTATTGGCCATCTCTAGCAAGTCTGCAAGGTGGCACAAAGCCTCATGTTTCTAATGCTGGTGCCAGGCACCACTTCCCATGGATATAAGAGATTTTGAAAGGAATTTTGATCCCAATTGTAAAGATAATGAAACGTGACCTTTTTAAAGAGTTAATTTGCTTTTAAATTTTTTTTAAAGTGTGTTAAAAATATTACACAATTAGAATTTACATATATATATAGTATAAGAATGAACTCATTACCTTATACCTGGGAGAATGTCCCTCCCACTCCAAACCACCTGCCACCATACACTTGACATGGGACAGCAAGAGTGCTCCAAATGCCACTACAGCCTGCTTTTGCAAAGTTGCAAAAGCATGACCTCTGACCTTAACTCTTTCACTGACTCGTCATCTCCATATGAATCCCCTCACCACATCTCCCCAACCAGCACCAGCCTACCAGTCCTACAGATGACATTTGGTTTCAAAAAATGGGGTATGGAAGAAGGGGTATTCTGGGAGTGGCAGCTGACACAAAAATTCTCTAAAGAACAATTTTGAAACAGATTTGGCAGGTTGTTTGAATGGCTGAAGTTGTACTTAGTAACACTTACGCCAGGTTCTTCATCTAAGTGAAGAAGAGTGACTGAGTGTCAAGGATGTTTCCGGTGGAATTAGCTCTGGACTAGAAGTCAGCCTGCAATGTTGCTCCAATTCTATCATTCTCTAGCTGCACAGACTTTGATAAGTAATTTGTGCCTGCATCTCACTTTGTCCATTTCTAAATGAGGGAGCGATTGAATGACCTCTGGGCCCCCTTCCAGCTCTGATATTCTATGGAGAGAGACTGATTCATCTCAACAAGGCAGAAGGATGGAAGATCTAGGTTTCTTGGAGAAAAAAACCTTTTTCCTGCACTTCTTCCTCTCCCTCAAGCCAAACGGCAAGAGAAAAACATCTGCAGAGAACACATATGACCTCCTAATAGTTGCCTTAAGGGTGCAAATCAACCCCGTGTGCATGGGGAGAGTTAACTTCATCATGTTCCCAGACAGCCTCATCCCTGGAACTTGGGCAACAGGGATTGTGAGGTCAAACACAATGGGAATACATCAAAGCCATGCAGACGTGTGGTCACCACCCAGATTCTGCTGGCCAGACAGCACTGAAAATGAAAATTCTAGAGGCACTGCACCACTGCACCCCATCGCTTTTAACTCTCTTTGGAACATTCACAGACCTAAATCTTTGATGTTGTTTTTAAAACAGCAACAAGCAACCTCACAATGGGTGCACTAGAGATGAGCATGGGACTGAGCCCCCTGCATTCCTTCTGACTCAGGTCCCTCCAGTTCCAAAACCACTTGAACTCCCAGCTTCTCTGGGACTGGGATCATTTTCGCCTGCACAGCCTAGTACTGAGCCTTCCTAGCCTTAATCCTTTCCATTCCGGCAGGAAAAAGCTGCATCTCCCCTCCTCCCCTTGGAGAGGCTGCATTTTACAGGAACAGGTCTGTGAAGGCTCTAAAGTAGCTCCTCTCTCCCCAAAGCACAAGGAATGAAGATGTTCTGGGCTAATGGAGAGGAGTCCTTGCCTCCCAGGCCTGCCTTTACTTCTTAGAGCTCAGCCCCTGAGAGCTGCTCCAGAGGTGCTCCGATGAGGGTGGGGTTGGAAATGGAAGCCCTGACTCCCTCACGGTAACGGGCCTGGGCAAACCCTTTGGCTTTGTGAATCAGAAGTATCATTTTGTGCTTGTTCCTTCCATTCCCCAAATGTCCTGTAGATGACCAAAGTGTGTGCAGTGTAGCTTAGTGGCTAAAAGTATGGACTCTGAAATAAGACAATGAGTTAGAATCTCAGTTATCACACTTGTTAGCTGTGTGGCCTTGGGCAAGTTACCTAACCCCTCTGTGCTCCAGTTTCCCCATATATAAAATGGGCACAGCAACTATTTAACTACCTCTTTAGGTTGTTATGTGGATTAGATGAGTTAATGTATATAAAGTACTTAAAATAGTGCCTGGTGCATAACAAGTACTATTAAGCATTTGCTCTTATTATGTGTCATTTAGCACCTAGAATCATCATAGCATTAGGAAGTCAAGCAATGAGAGGCTTATGATTCAACTGTAAACAGGTGCACACTAAATAACTATAATTATATGTTTTAGTCCAAAAAACTAATTCAATCTTGAGCACTATTAACAAAAAGAACATCCAGAAAAAGACTGACAAGAACACCTAGCTCTCTGACCAGATAATGGGAGCACATCAACCTGGAGATCACAAAAAAGAGGGTAAGCAGGATGCTGAAGATCAGAGGAGGCCAGAGCTTACTGGGCCAGGTGTGACATGTAGAACATGGGGGCCTTTGTCCCAGGTTCCTGGCACAGAGCTTCAAAAACCTGTGGGATTTCTAAAATGTCCAGAACACTTTAGGGGTGTCTTTGTTACTCATCATAGCCCCTTTCACAAATCTGAGTTGATGCTAATGAGGTGACTTATGGTAGGTTCTTTTTTGTGACCTCCAGGTTGACATGTTTCCACTATCTGGTCAGAGAACTACGCATCATCGCCATTCCTTTCTGGATGTTCTTTTTGTTAATATAGCTCAAGATGGAGTTAGTTTCTCAAGGAAGGGACTGGCCACCAAGAAAGACCACGGGCATGATTAGAGGGCTGCAACTTCAGCCCCACCCCCAGCCATGGAGGACAAGAGGGGGAGCACCTGAGATTGAGTCAAGTGGCAGATGACTTGAACAATTATGCCAAGTAATACAGCCCCCCTCCCCAGCGATGCTCCCCAGAGATTAAAAATCTCTGGACACTAAGGCTTGGGGGAGATTCCTGGTTGGTGAGCACATTGCTGTGCTGGGTGTGTTAGAAAAAGCATAAAAACTAAATGTGATTTATTCCCACCAGGAGATTTAAACATTTTAACAGTAAGGTATTGACAAAAGGCCACGTGGTGAAAAATATGCCAGGAAGTTGCTCAGGCCGGGAAGGGGGTGGGGGGGATTGTAAGGAACGGGCTGTACCTATTTGGGAAAAGAAAGAAATTTTAAACCTTCCAATAAAATTAAGGCAAATGTAAGGGAAATCCTAACATGGATATAACTTGCTTAGGCGATGTCCAGGAAAGAATGCGAACCCTGTAGTATTTAGCCATTGAGGAACCAGGGGAGGGACCTACATGCTAGGGAGCAAATTACTTGTGCCAACTGCCCCAGGTGTGCCTGTTCACCAGACACCTGATCTTTCAAGACCCCTTTAAAGCCTTGCTCTACTGTTCTCTTTGTCTCTGTGTCCACTTACTGAGTTTGGGCCAGTGAGCACGTTTCTTACAGGTGACACCCCTGGATTCCACAATGAGGGGACACAGCAGCTCTGCACCAATCCCCCAACCCTGCCCCATGCGCTATTTCCATCTGGTGGTTCCTGAATTGGATCCTTTATATTAAAACTGTAACACACAATGCCTTCCGTGAGGTCTGTGAGTTGTTATAGTGAATTACAGAAACTAAAGGGGGGGCAAGGGAACCCCCAAATTTATAGCTAACTTGATCAGAAGCACAGGTTGCCTAGGGCCCCAACTAGCAGCTGGCATCTGAAGTGGGGGCAGTCTTGTTGGTGACCTTGCCCTTCAACTTGTGGTAGTTAACTTGTGTGCCCTTTAACTTGGAATTGAGTTGAACTGTAGGACACCTAGTTGGTGTCAGAGAATTGGTGACAGAACAGCACCAGGCCACTTCTCCTCATACTTTATTTTCATTCCCAGGACCACGCCCTAAGGCAGACATTATTGTCCCAGTTTTACAGATAAAGAAACTGAATCACAGAGGTTAACCAACTTGCCTGAGATCACAAAGATAACAGTAGAGCCAGGACTTCAGCCAGGACTTCAACCAGGACTAGCTCTGGCTTCAGAGTCTGCTCTCTTCCTTTCCAGTTGTCCTCAAATACCTGTTGGGCTGCCATGGAAGAGGGATTAGGCTGAACCCTTAGGGCCTCAAAGGCCAGAACTAAGCAGGCAGATCTTAGCTGAGGGTGCCAGAGAGAACTTCCCACCAGAGGGAGCTGCTCAGTCACAGGAAGACAGGACAGGCCACCCTGTCAGGTGGTGAGCTTTCCCCAGAGAGATGACCTGAGTGTCTGCAAGGTTATCCTGATGAAATGGACACAACCAGAAAGTGCCTCATGCCCGCCACCACCCAAAACTGCTAACTACTTACCAAGAGGCTGGCTCAGCCTTGTCCCAGGCTGCCTCTTCTCAGCACTTGGCCTGTGCACCCCACTCTGCTCTCAGGGACGCTGACCACATCTACAGGATTTCAAACACGTGGCTGAAAACTGGAAAACACAAACAACAAATATCAGGGGCTTGTCTGCCATGACTCCTCCTCACCCTGTTCTTGCAGCACCATTAGATACTGATTTGTTTTAGGGACTGCTGGGGATTTCTTAAAAATGGACTTCCAATGAATTTTTATTTTAAAAGCAAACTGTATCTTTAAAAAGTTAAAGAAACTGTCATTATCTTTGTAATTGGGATCAAAACTCCTTTCAGAGAGGAATTGGAAAATCCCCTTGTGTTTGTAGAGTGCTGGCCTGCGAGGTCTTGGGAGGGAGCAGAACTGGAACCCCTGCGTGAGACCAGAGGGGTCACAAGCTGCTGGGAAGGAAGGCATATGACCCCTTCCTGACCTCCTGCCATGTGAATACCTTACTAACAGCTACTAAACTCACAGAAGCTGATGTGAGTGATTTTTGGATGCAGCCCAAAAGGCAGAAGGTTGAAGAATATCACACCCCAGGAAGTGGGAGGGTTTTAGGGTTGCACCAGCCGTAGACTGGCGGTTTCAAGACAATTCCACCTAGAGTTCAAGAGGAAGAAAAGTCCCCAGCTATACCTGGGTAACAGGTCATAAAGTGCTACTGAAGGTGGAATGTAAAGTTAGTATCTTATAAACAAGGGCAAGTCACTACTCCAATCCTGGGGATCAAGGTCTTCAAAGGGTTAATCATCAAAACGTTAAAGAAAAGTGAGTTTTCCATTTTCTCATGGGCTCTCTTGTTCAGACGCAAGGACACTTGCCTCACGCAGGGCCAAGCCCACTCCTACCCCCACTGTGGCTCTGGGCCAGGCCCTGCCTGTCCTGCCTCATCGGCCAGCTCAGCTCCATCCGGGAAGATTCTCTCACCAATGAGGGAAAAGGAGAATCCTCTTGGCAGGTATGGTGCGGCTGAGGAGCCCAGGACACTGCTTGCCCACTGAGGCACAGCTTCCTTCCCAGCCTAGCCAGGGCACACAGTGTTTCGGTGCCAGGATGACCCCCTGAGCCCAGTCCTGATGCTCACACTCTAGTTAGGGGCCTGGAAGTTGCTCCTACACACTATTCTCTGTTCTCTGCATGTCCAGCTGCCAGCGGGGCTCTCCTTCCGCTGACCTTATTTTTAGCTGGAACAGGGTTACAGCCACCACTTGATGCTGCCTCTGTCCAATGCCCACCAGCACGGGAGCCCTCCCTTCCAGAGCCGCTGGCTCCTGGGCAGAGCTTGCTGACATACCTCTGAATGCTATTCTTTGGATGGGTGACACTGACATGCCAGCCACCCACAAGGACCAATTGTGCAGCCACGTAAATTGTCTTACCTGAAACACAGCTTCGTTTCCTTCCCAGCAGTCCCTGCCAGGGAGGTGTGAGGATGTCCTACGGCTACAACCTAAGATTGGGATTTTGAGAGCCTGAGCTATTTCTTGTGTCACTGACAGAATGAATCCTTTGACCCCACAGGTGACCTATGCCATTCATGTAAAAAGATAGACATCTGTTCCCCAAATAAGTAGACACCAAACACAGTAATCCCCATCCCAATCTCTTTTGGTGTCGAATTTCCACTATTAGAGCTCCATTCCTTTGGGTTATAATGTTATCTTCTGATTAAAATGAAAAATGCCCTGAGAGGTATTGGAGGCAAATGCATTATTTGTAAAACATTTTCCTGTGGTGCTGAAACTACCACTCGGGCCAACCCTGCACAGCCAGCCCCTCCCCCCATCCCTACCTCACAGACACAACCCAGCAAGAGGCCCAGGAGCACTTGGCTCGTCCCTCTTCTCATCTGTGTGCTTTCTCTATCACCAAGCTCTCTGGTTTTCTGTCCTAAATATCTCCCCATCCACAGCACTGCACCCTGACCCATGCTGCCGTCTTCTCCAACCCTTTCATGGTCTCTGCCCTGTCTCTCCTCTCACACCTACCGTCCAGTCACTGACCCACCAGAGTCACTGCTCTAAAATGCAGATCTGACCCACATCTGTCACTGCCCTGCTAAAAGCACATGCTCCTCTAAAATGTAGTCAAATTTAGATTGTATTACAAAAGTGACAGGTATTCTTTTTTACATTAAATACAAACTTTTCATTCTGAATTCACTTTTTCAAAGAAAACACATGTTCATGTTGGAAACTCAAACCCACCGATCACCAACCAGGGACCAGAGGTCTGTGTCTTTCTCTCTGCCACCTTCTTCCTCTTGAAGATGACCACCCTGTAGAATGAGGTCGGGGGTTGGAGGTCAGAGCTGGCACAGAGCCTCCTGAGCCTCTCCACCCCCACCCTTCCTGCCAGTCTCTGGTGCTCTGGGGCTGTTCCCAGGACCTGGAAGGCACCGACCTGGTCTCTGCCTGGAGCACTCATTCCTGCCTGGAGAACTGTTTTCTCCCTTCAGTTCAGGTTGTCTTCTGCCCCTGTCCCTTAGGCTCTCACGTCACCTTTACTCACCTCTTTCATTCCACTTACAGTCCAACAGCAACAATCTATGCCCATGAGCTGCTAGCAGACAAGGCCTGTCTTCAGCGTTTCTTTATTTCCTGTGTTGCCATGGGGCCTGGTACCAGGTTGATGCTGATTTAGTGTTAGCTGAACCAAAATCCAACTAACAGTGAACTGTTAGGCCTCTCAGCAAAGCAGCCCTGCGTCTCAGAGGAGAGTGAGGCCCTGGGAACCTCACGGGACAATGTGGGGAGACAGACCCCTAAGCAGCCCATTTCAGGGTAAGGTACTGAGTGTTAATGGAGGTGTAGATGGAAGGTTTCATAGTTAATATCACTTTGTCTAAAATAAAATGGTCTCTTGTTATATAACCCAAAAGGCAAGCTCCTTCTGACAACCATTCTTTTTGCCCATTTTGAAGTAGACTTCCAAAAACTTTTTGCAACTCTCAAACGAACAAATCCAGCTCTACCAAATAACACTGATTATAGGGAGAAGTTAATATAAACCACACTGCATGAGCCACAACCCCCTTCGCCCTCTCACGCTCAGCCCTTTCCCCTTATCTGTCTCTCTCACTTCTTCCCTCCCACAGCCCTTCCCCTGCCCCCACCCCAGGACCCTCTCTCTTTGCTCAAGGGAGCCCTGGAGCTCCCCCAGCACATCCAGTTTGCATCTGCACATGCTGGACCCCTACACAGCCAAGCGTCTGCATTGGGATTCACCCTCCTGGGAGAGCTGGAGATTGCAAATCATGAAAGACGCTCTCTGTCACAGGTCATTTTCTTCCCTGTCCCACTGAAGACCAGGTATATGTAATCACTGGAGTATAAAATCACATTACTATGGGTTGTTCCTTGTAGCTATAAAAAGAACATAAGGGCTAAAGAGAGGAGTAACAGATGCCAAGTTGTCTGACTTCCTGCTAAAATCTGTTGAAGCTCTGTACGCACTGAGGAGAGGTGGGTGTCTGTCTCCTGCCACTTCAATGGAACATGTCTGGACGGGAACAAACAGTCTGAGCACCCCAAGCCCAAAGTGGAAAGACACTGCAAGTTGTCATTTTCCAGCTACTCGCACCACTGCTATGGGCACAGCTGCCCCTGGGGTGATGCCAGCCTCTGAAAACCGCAGGCCCCCAGCCCCACAGCACACCATTCGATCCACGTCTTAGAATTGAACTCAGAGGCCAAACTCACCGATCCTGAATGAACCTCCAAAAGTGAGGGCAGAGACGGCCGTGGCCTTGCTGCTGTTACTCGGTAGAGTAAATGGAGACGGTTGAGTAAGGGCCTGGACACACCCTGCCTGGTCTGCTCAGATAAAGAGAAAGCTCATGCCTCTGTATGGGGGGATTCGGGTGACACATGTCATCAGCTTCTTCACATGTTTCTGGATTTCCAAAGTTCTACATTAGGTAGTAACTGCTGTGACCATTTAGGACAAAAATAGTTTAAAAAAAGAAAACAAGAAGGAAGAAGGAAAGAGATGATAAAGTCCCCCTCTGTCCATCTCTGGAAACCCCCTTGACTAGAAGAATCCTTTGACCCTCTGACTGCAGGCCTAAGAAGGGCTCACGTCCCAGCATCCCTGATGCATACTTCCCAAGTGGAGTCCAGTGAATTTTAAAAGCCTTCTAAGCAAAGAGCGCCAAACCTACTGGTTGGTGGGCATTTTTCCTCCATTCTTCTATTATCCAGGAATTGCACTGCTGTGAAATGAATGGACCCAGCATTCTTTCTTACCACTTGGAATCATTCTATTCCCTCTCACTAGATAAGCAGTTATTTATTGATGCCCAGGATCAATATTTATTCACTGAATATTTATTGTTGAATATTTATTGCCCAGGAGTGAGCAAGAACTGGAATTGGGCAAGAGAGAAGATTCCCAAAAGCAACGAGATTGGTCTCTGCCTACTCGAGGCCCACAGTCATGTTAAGGTGAAAAATACGAATCAAATAAGACTATATGTGTTTATATATAAGCAAATGTATATATATATATATATTTCCAACAAGCACTGAACACATTCATTCATTTCAGGCTATCTCTGACATTCATTTCATAGTCATATATATATATATCTACATTATATATATATATAGTAGTCAACTGTTAAGTTCATCACAATAAAGGCTACTGAAAATAAATGAATGTGTTCAAATGTTCCAGGAGACTGGAAACTGGGTCCACATTTAAGAGGTCCTTAGTTAGACCTTGAAGGAAGACATTATTCAATCAACAAAATTTAGGCTGCTAAACCCAAAGAGGGGCTGGTGCCATGCCAGGCCCCTCACATCCACGTGGCCCTGAAGGGCCTGTCACCCTGGTCTTCAGGTGAGGAGATTGAAGCTCCATGGAATGGAGTGACTTGATCAGGGTCACAGAGCTACCTAAGGGCAGAGCCTGGATTTGAACCCATCTTGTTCCAAAACCTGTTCTCTCCTTTCACTTCACCATATTTTCCTCCCCTCCTCCAAATGAAGCTATGCAGATGCAGAGGGCCTGGTAGGAAGGTGGGGAATGGAAATCAGCAAATGGCCAAAGCTCAAGGCACAGGATCCATATTCC